TAGGTGCCAATCTGTAGCTCTTCCAGAGATTTAGACATGAACTCTGGCTTGGGGAACTCAGTGATCTGAGGAGAGAACCATCAGGGTCATCTTCAAGAACCCCCCCCCCCACCACACTTGGTTACCCCTCCAACCCAGTATATAAGAAGTAAAAACCAGGGGCATCCAGTGGCTCAGTCGCTTAAGTGTATGACTCCTGATTTCAGCTCAGGTCATGATCCTAGCACCCCGTGTCAGGCTCTGCACTGGGTGTGGAGCCTGCTTAAGATTCTTTCTCTCTCTCTTCATCTGCCCCCCTGACTCCTCCACCCCTGCTGTCTCTCTTTGGGGAGAAAAAAAAAAGGAAGTAAAAACCAGGCTGAGGACACTTACAAACAATTTGAGGAACTTGAGGATGCGCTTGTGGGTGAGGATGTATAAGGTGTTGCCTGATTCCGGGTCAATAACTGGCAGCCTGTGGATCTTGTTTCGAATTAATGAAGAGACAGCATCAAACAAGCTGTGGGAAATTGGGCATAATGGTAAGTCCCACAGTGCTGAGCTTGAGGTGAGTAAATAGCTTCTAAGAGTATGTTTATAAACAGGGAAAACTGGTGATTGGGAGAGGAGAGCAGTGTTCAAACTAGACCTTAAGAGTGTGTGAATGTGTGTGTGTTTGGGAGGAGAGTCTTGTTTCTCTTCCGCCCCTGGATCTTTAGGTATCTAGGGCTTTAGCTTCACTGGTGGCAAGGCTCCTCCCCTTCTGGACAAATGGGTAGCTGGAACTCACCTGGCATTAGGAGAAATGCAGACGAGTGGTTTGAAGGAGTCCTGTAGGTATACCTCTAAAGGGAAAAGGGAGGTTCACAAAATACCAGTATGGAAAACAATTTCCCAGAAAACTCTCCAGCCTTTCCCCTTTTACCACCCCCAGTTCCCTACATACCTCTCCAAGTTTCTATCTTGTGTTCTTCTAGCTCATAGATCTGTACCTGGAAGCAGAAGCAAAGAGCTTGAGACTTGATCTCTCTACTTCATGGACCCCTCGTGGTTTGCTTGGAAGAAAGGAACTAGGAATGAGGGACTTTGGGTAGGCAAAAAAGGTTTGGTCATTGGGCTTCGGTACCAGTCTTACCAAGGCTGATTTATAGTAGCGATGCAGGATATTGATGAAATCGGTGATGGTCAGCATGCCTAGAAGCCAAGACAAGATTCCTCAGCACTGCTCAAAGCTTCTCCCCCTGCCCAGCACAAGGTGCCAATAATACTGTGTTCCAGAAAATTTTGCCTACCTACAAAACTTTGCTTCTTACTATCCCACAAAGGTGCAGCCCGTACACCATTAGTCACCAAAGCAAAGAAAGCTTTCTTTACCTGTAGCCAAAAGAGTCATGATCACAAAGGAAAATTCACAGGGCGCAAGACTTTAAAAGAACGGGGGTTGGGTATGTTGGGAAAAACATGAAACTAAACCCATATAAGGACGAGGAAATTACCCTTAGGATGACATAGGATTAGAGTTTTTGAACCAGAGGCTCCTAGGAAGGGGGATGGGAGAAGAGGATTTCACCCACCTGCAGGGAAGTATCAAATACAACCAATTTGGAGCTTGTGGGAATCAGGTCATAGCAGCGATGAGACTTCATGAAGGAAGTATACACACTATTGTTGGATTCTGGGGTCTCTGCATAGGGTGGGATAGTTAGAAGCTTCCTTTCATGCAACAACTCACAATCAACAGAGGCAGAAAATAAAAGTGTAGCTGTTCAAATATTTATAGCCTGATTTTTTTTATAAGGCCTCTTTTCTGTTTTGTTCTTACTGTTCCCAGAAAAACTAGATATACCCCTTAGAAACTACTTCATCCAACCCCCATATCCAGGTAGGACTCTATCTATTGACTCCTCAGGCAAAAGACAGCTACTAAAACAGAAAATCTATTAATAGCTTTCATTAACCTCTTCTAACCTAAAGGTTTTTTCTAATCTTGAACTCAAATTTCCCCTTTCATATATTTAAGTGCATTTTCACTTGTTGTCTTTTCTCAATTAGGACGTAATTAAGCTTCTTAAAATGCAAGTAAGCTTCTTAAAGTTCTTCTAAGATCTGCAGATGAGAAAGTCATGGTCCAAGTTGGGCTGTTTCAGATCAACACTCAGTTGAAGCCCAGTGCTTAATTAACCTGGCTGCAAGCGCCCTGAGAGTCCATCTTGGGATGACCCTGTCAATCAAAATCATCCCATTTACTCTAGACAAATGGGAGAGCCTGGCTGTATTTACCCGTCTATTCCTCTGATTTTAATTGCTTGCTCTAAACTGGAGAAGCAACCCAGAAAATAATAAACCTGAAGGTGCTATGTACTATGCTATGTGTACTTTAAAAATATCACATCATTTATTCCTTATGACAAATCTGTAAAGCAAATACTGTCCTCATTTTTCAGATGAGAAAACAGGTGGGAAGCAGATAAACTGCTCAAGGTTGCACCATTAGTAAGTGGCAAGACAGACTTACACAGACCTGATTCCAAAGTTCATGATCTTAAATGCTATGCCAGGTGTTTTTAATGTTTAATTTTTTTTACCGTTAACACAGGTATACTGTTTAAAAAGCCAAACAATTCTAGAGATTTTGTTAAGAAAAACTGCAGTCCATGTCACCTACTGCCCTGTCCTACCCCTACCCAGATTTATTTTGGTACTTATATCTAGGTCTATAAATAACAACCTTTTCTTTTTTTTAATTTTTCCATTTTGGGGCATTATCTATTATCATTCAAGCAATATGAGAATTTTTAGTTCTCCTTCCTACTAGGACCCCAACACAAACATGTACTTCCCATCTCCCCATTATTCCAGAAATTATGTTGGCTACATTAGTATTAAAATAATTTTGACGGAATTCCTTTTTCGGAGTGAAGCCCAGTGGTAAACTCCTGACTTTTTTTTTTTTCTTTCTTTCACAACGTTGTTTTTCCTGGAGTTAATAACTGTCTTGTCTTTTTGTTTTTATAACTAATTCAAGTATTCATAGCTAATTCAAGTGTTCATAACTAATTCAACCCCAAACTCTTCACCAGTTGTTTAAATCTCCTTTCAAGAAATTCAGAAGCACTAGATAGTCTATCACTTTAAACCACCCAAAGAAGTTTCTCGTGAATCTTCTGACCTGCTCAAATCTGGGCTGGTTTGCTGGTGTGCACAGCTGTCTTCCAGAGATCTTCCTTCATCACCATCCAGGGGCCCCCTTTCATGTCTCTCTTGTACTGGCACTCCTGTGTCCTGTACTCTCTTATGTTTTCAACTTTCTTTTTCTTTTCTTTTTTTTTTTTTTTTAAGATTTTATTTATTTATTTGACAGACAGAGATCACAAGTAGGCAGAGAGGCAGGCAGAGAGAGAGAGGAGGAAGCAGGCTCCCTGCTGAGCAGAGAGCCCGATGCAGGGCTCGATCCCAGGACCCTGGGATCACGACCCAAGCCGAAAGCAGAGGCTTTAACCCACTGAGCCACCCGGGCGCCCCTCTTTTTCTTTTTTTATTACTTCCTTGTTTTGGTGATATACACCTTCCTGTAGCTTCCTGAGAAAGGGTGCATGGGAGGTAAATTTTTGAGACCTCACAGCCTGCAGATATCTTTATTTTACCCTCATCTTTGATGTATAATTTGGCTGGATATAAATTCTAGATTTGGATTTATTTTCCTGAAGAATGTTGAAGGCACTGCCCCCATTGCCTTCTAGTTTCTGGTGTGTTGAGAGTCTGAGGCAATTCCAATTCCTTTTATGTAACATGTTTTTGTTTGTTTGTTTGTTTGTTTGTTTCCTTTCTAGAAGCTCAGGATCTTCTTTGTTTCCACTGTTTTTGAAATCTCATGATGATTGTGCTTTGGGTGGGTCAATTTCATCCGCTGTGCTGAATACTCAATGAATCTTTTCAGTATGAAAACTAATGTCCTTCAGTTCCAGGAAATGTTCTTGAATTATTTCCTTGATCATTTCCTTCCCTTTGTGTTGTCCTTTTCCTCTTTCTGTAACTCCTATTATTTAGAAATCAGACTTCCTAGACTGACCCTTTAAGGTTGTTTTGTTTTGTTTGATGAGTTGTTTTTGTTGTTATTGTTGTTGTTAAAAATATCTCTTCTAGTTTACACTTCTTTTTCTTTCCTTTACTTCTTTGATTTTGGGGGCTTTTTAGAAAGATATTCTTTTTTAGTAATCTCTACACCCAACATGGGTTTGAAATCACAGCCCCTAAGATCAAGTGTCAACTGAGTCAATCAGGCACCCCACTTTGTTTTTTGAGGGGGCAGAAGGGACAGAGGGAGAGTGAGAGAGAGAATCTTAAGCTGTCTCCACACCCAGCACAGAGCCCAACATGGGGCTCTATCTCACGACCCTGAGATCATGACCTGAACTGAAATCAAAAGTCAGACGCTTAACCAACTGAGCCATCCAGGCACCACACTTCTTTGATTTTTAGTTCTATTTTTTGGGAGTCTTCCTCCACTTAATTTTCCAAACCTCCTACTTAGTTTAAAAGTTTTCCTATTTCCTATTAACATCTAAGAGCTCTTCTTTGTTTTCTGAAAATTCTTTAAAAAAAAAAAAAAAAGAACAAGACATCCTCTATTTGTTGCATGGTGGAAATAGATTATCTGAGTATATATTAACATTAATTTTTTAAAGTTTTCTTCTCTATGCATTGATTTCTTTCTGTTGCTTTTTCCCTCTGTTTGTTCTTCAAGGGAGCAGTTTGAATCACTTTTCTTTTTATTTTAGAGGCATTTTTTAGAGTCTGGTTATCCTTGGTTTAAAGGAGCATTCAAACCATATTCTAAGAATGCAGTCTCTCTCTCTCTCTCTTTAAGACTTTAATTATTTTGGAGACAGAGGGCGGACGAGAGAGAGCAGAGGGCATAAGCAAGGAGCGGGAGAGGGAGAAACAGGCTCCCTGCTGAACAGGGAGTCCAATGGCTGGATCCCAGGACCCTGAGATCACGACCTGAGCTGGAGACAGATGCTTAACCAACTGAGCCACCCAGGTGCCCCAAAGTGCAGGCTTTAAAGTTGACTGGCAGCTCAAATGTACACATAAGTCTTATTGACTATGAGCTGTATAGATGGGGAACATTCAGTACTTTTATTTTTAGGGCTTTCCCTTCAAGGGGATTCTGCAGAAGATTATTTACTCAATTTTGTGCTTGGAGGGTGAAGACTTTTCTGTCAGCATTCGGGAAATTAGACTGGTGAAAGGACTGGGATCTCAGCATCCAGTGTAGTTCATTCATGCTCCTGTGTTTGGTATAGTACTGCAGCCCTCAGCTGGGCCTGACCTCCTCTTCAGACATCCAGTCTTTGCCAGAGTTGGGAGGAGGAGTTTCCTAGCTGCACTCAGTGGAGTAGGGAGTCTCTGAATCTAACTGCTTCTTAGATCTTCAATTCTTCTCTTGGCTTTCCCTGCTGCTAGTTTGTAATTCAGTTTTCTCAGGTCTGCTAAATGATTTACCACTCGTGCATCTGTTTTCCAGCTTCCAATTACTAATGTCTCCTCTCTTATTCTCTATTCTGGTGGGTTTGTTCCTTTTGAAAAAAATTCTTTTGTGGTGGTTTTAGTAGTTTTTTGTGAAGGAACAAAAGTAGATGCATGTATTCAGTCCACTATCTTTGACTGAAGCCCACTATTGTTTTTCAAAGGAAATCTCTTATGGCCCCGTGCTGCTGGCCTCTGTGGGACTCCAGTGTCCCACATCCAGTGTCCCCCATCTGGGGGAGATCCGGGAACTCCCCTGTCTTGCCCAAGAGGCTGGTTTAAGGAGTTCCCAAGAACATGCCTTTTAGATGCCAGTTTAAGACACGCTACACTGACAGTTAAATACCATCAATTTAGGTCACAGACTCATAAATACATTTGATTTGGCTTTCTCAGTATTTTAAAAATAATTTAAATCAGTTTCTCAATTGTAAAAATCTGGAGATTGAAATAAAAATCCAAATTCTGAGCTTCTTTCAAAATCAGATCTTAGGCCTGAATTTCTGAACAGTGATAACTGCCAAGACCTGGAAAGTTGCTGCGTCCTTTTAGATGTGACAAGATCTATAGGTTGTCGTAGTTGTATGCACCTACAGCACTGCTTGGTTCACAATTTGAGTTTTGAGCCTTGCCTTAGTGCTACTGCAAATGTACTCAGAAACATAAAATAGGCACTAGTATCATGCGGCAGTACTCAGTTATGAAGATATCACTCAGATAATTCAAATATGACTATGTTAACCTTTTAGGATACCAACAAAATGAAAACAGAACATTTAAAAATTCTTGTGGAGAACTCATAGATCCTTAATAATACGTCCTAAGATCTCAGCCCATATTTCAATTCTCTGAGAAAGTGTGTACTCCTAATGCCATCAACATGTCCTGGGAAGACCTAGAGGTGTTCCTGGATAAAATCCTTTAAGGGAGGCACCTGTAAGTTCTGCTTCTTTCTAGATAGTCTACAGCTGGACCCTTCCATGCTAACTAGTTATTTGGGCAGGTGCTAGAACTGCCTTCTCCTCTGCCCTGGATTTTGGGGTTTAGTGCCTCTATTTCTAGATTAGTTTTAAGGGCTTTCAAGGCCTTTCTATAACTTCTCATGTACACTCAGTGGCTTTAGTGAGCTCACTGGATGATAAAATCCTAGTGGCATTGTTTCTGGGCTAATCAGAAAATACCATGCACCACTGATACATGGTTAGCCAGCCCAGAATTGTCTATGGAAGTTTTCCCTCAAAAATTTCAGTGGTTGACACAGAAGTGACTACGAACAGGAAGAGGACAAAAAAAATAACCGTCCGCGACACCGAGCCGAACTGGACCAGCAGCCACCATGAACAGCAAAGGTCAATATCCAAAGCAGCCAACCTACCCTGTGCAGCCTCCTGGGAATCCCGTGTACCCTCAGACCTTGCATCTTCCTCAGGCTCCACCCTATACTGATGCTCCACCTGCCTACTCCGAGCTCTATCATCCAAGCTTCGTGCACCCCGGGGCCGCCACAGTCCCCACCATGTCTGCTGCATTTCCTGGCGCCTCACTGTATCTTCCCATGGCCCAGTCTGTGGCTGTTGGACCTTTAGGTTCCACAATCCCTATGGCTTATTACCCAGTTGGTCCAATCTATCCACCTGGTTCAGCCATGCTGGTGGAAGGAGGGTATGATGCAGGTGCCAGATTTGGAGCTGGGGCTACTGCTGGCAACATTCCTCCTCCACCCCCTGGATGCCCTCCCAACGCCGCTCAGCTTGCAGTCATGCAGGGAGCCAATGTCCTCGTAACTCAGCAGAAGGGAAACTTCTTCATGGGTGGCTCAGATGGTGGCTACACCATCTGGTGAAGAACTAAGGCCACCTCCGTGCCGGGAAAGACATCACATACCTTAAGCACTTCTCACAAAGTAACTGCTTTAGTCATATTAACCTGAAGTTGCAGTTTAGACACATGTTGTTGGGGTGTCTTTCTGGTGCCCAAACTTTCAGGCACTTTTCAAACTTAATAAGGAACCATGTTATGGTAGCAGTACCTTCTCAAAGCATTTTGAGGTAGGGGAGGCATCCATTCATAAAATGAATGTGGGTAAAGCAGCCCTGAGGATCTTCCTTTAATTCCTCTGGAGTACTACTGTACCATACTGGTATTCGCTCTTAGTAATAAAACATCAAATTAGGTTTGGAGGGAACTTTGATCTTCCTAAGAATTAAAGTTGCCAAATTATTCTGATTGGTTTTTAATCTCCTTTAAGTCTTTGATTTCTATTACTTGTTATAAATGAAATGTATTAGTTGTCTGCCTCTCTCTCCTTTGCCCCATGGCCCACCCTCACCCCTAGTCTTCCAGTTCCTTCCCGCCAATCTCCATTGAATCAATGGTGCAGGACAGAAAGCCAGTCAGACTAACTTCCTTCTCTCCTTGCACTTGTCCCCACTTGCCATCTTTTAACTAGTCTTTTACAAGGATCCTCTCAAACCCCCTCTGTGCCCCAAGCACAGGCCCCATTACTTCTGCTTTTGCATCTCCTCAGGCAAAAGTGGAGGGTGCCCCCTCGGACCCTCCTTACATGTTGTTTCTTCGTCTGTGAACCAAACTCCAATTTGCTTCGGTGCCAGAAAAACAGAGCTCTATTTGAACCAAGGGTATCAATGCAAACTATAAACAGGTTTGTTTAAAAATGTGGGGGCAAGGAGGAGGATGCATTTCAAAAGCCTGATGACATTAGAGCCAAATTAGGGGAAGTTTTCCCACCCAAAAACTGGTTACCGTTCATTGTCAGAGTATCTCATGTAGGCCTTCATGGCTCCCGAGAATTCCTCAGCCGGTTTAATGGGGTCATATTATGAGTCCCTCACTACAAAATGACTTGAGTCCAGTAAAATCTCATTAGGGTTAAGAATATTTCAGGGATCCTTAATATTTTGATTTTTGTTTTCTGAAATTGGATTTTATTTAAAGAAAAAAAATTTCAGTGGTTCAATAATTGAAAATATTCATCATTCCCATCCTGCCCAAGATTTATTCCTGGGTGATCCTGCCAAATTACTAATCCTGACTGGTATGGTTTGGCACATTATCTGGCCCAGTTCTGATTTTTCCCAGGGGGCATCCTGAGAGAAATTCAAAAGCATCGCTGAGGACAAGTTAGGATTGGGCTATTGCTTTCGTTAGCAGTTTCCTTTCTTCAGTAAACTTACCTTGAGGATGCTCATTTTCCATAGCTGGGGAGCTATCTGAAGAAGTGACCTGGAGAGACAAGAGGAACAAAGATTCAGCCTATCCTGGGCTCCATCCATTTTAGCCGAGCATGATGAGAAGGGCTAATGAACTAACGATGTCATTTAAAGCACTATGAGGCCCACTTAAAATATTGCCTCATTTAATCATAACAACCCCGAGGTAAAAACTAATTAGAAAACTGAGGTTCAGGAAATATTAAACAGCCTGCCCAACATCACATGGCTGGTAAGGGGTACAATACGAGTTTGAACACATATCTGTATGGTTCCAAAGCCTATGCCCTTAACCACACTGCCTAATGAAACATTCGACTTAAAAGCTGAGACTAGAAAATCTGAGAATCCACAAGGTTCTCACAGATCTACTTAAAAAAACATGGAAGCCAGAGACAATACTGCTTTCCTCCAAATACTAAACCTACTCTTAGACACTAGAATCATAGACATACCCCTTTACCATTAAGAGAGGACCACATCAGGGGCACCTAGGTGGCCTAGTGAGTTAACCATCCAACTCTTGATTTCAGCTCAGGTCATGATCTCAGGGTCATGAAATCAAGCCCCACATCCGGCTCTATGCTGGGCATAGAACCTGCTTAAGATTCTCTCTCTCTCCCCCACCACCCACCCTTCTAAAAAAAGAGAAAGAGAGAGAGAGACAGGACCACATCTGGGGAGGATCCCAGCAGCTGACTATTACAGAGAGTTAAAGCTTGACTGACTGAGGGGTGGAAGAGGACAATAAATGTTTTGAAACTGGGAACCTGATTCTTCTTACCACCCTTATGAGTCAAAGGCTCCTACAACCCAGAGGATGCTGGTTTTCCAAGTTGATTTGACCATGACAGTCTGACAGCAGAGCACTTTGAATACAGAGAAACCTTCAGAACCATCTCTGGGCTCCCTCAAGTGGGAACATTTGGAAATTTTCTTGTTATCTAGGAACCCAAGAGGGGTCATGATAATTTTAATCCACTGGAATGAACAGTTTTGGCTCCATTTGTTCTGGGTAACATACCAAAACTAACTTAAAGTCATACTTCACCTACATAGCTATGCAGTAACGTGAAACTGAAGGCCTTGGCTTGAACTTGGTAGGTTGGTGGTAAACAGGGTCAAGTTGGCAGGACAGCTCTAAATTTCCCTCCCCTCATGGGCCAGGGTGGGGGCAGGAGGGAAGGAGAATAATCTCCCTCTTCTGTCTGGACTGCATAAGACTATCAGCTTGGCCCAGCATTTTGGCAAGGCTATCGGAACAACAGCCTCATCACTTTTAAGTGGGAGAGAGGGCTGTTCAGTGGAAACGATACACACATGGGATAACGCAGTCTCACAAAGAGCTATACAAAGACACAGAAACAGCTCTTGTGTAGCTGTTTATTATACCCATCATATAATACATACTACATTGTGCTATAGTTTTTTTGTTCATTATCTATCCAAACAGGTTTTAAATTCCCGGAAGCTAGAACTATTTTATATTTCTTTGTATCACCCACACCACTTAGCATGGGGTTCTGCACATAAATCTCAACTGTTTTGCTCTTTAACTCTCAAATTGATAATGATAATGATGCATACGCTTGTGAATAACTAAGATTAAGTTATAGAGGAAAAAGTGATGTACAGCTAGAGATACAGAAACCTACATAAGAGAGTAAGGCATTATTGAATATGACTTTACCTTTCTGCCTGTTTCTCCACACTGGAGAATAATTAACTTCTCTCTGCTTTTAATAACACAGGAAACCTGGGAAAGTACCACTATAACACGAGTACAAAATATTATGGAGACACAGGCTAGATCTGACACATGGACTCACAGTTTCTTCTGAATTTCTGATCCACATTTCTTTAAAAAAAAATATTTATTTATTTTAGAGAGAGAACACGCACATGCTGGGGGAAGAGGGAGAGAAAAACTCAAGCAGACTTGGCACTAAGCACAGAGCCTGATGTGGGGCTCAATCTTATGACACCAAGATCATGACCTGAGCTGAAATCAAAAGTCAGATGCTTAACCGACTGTGCCACCCAGTTACCCCCAATCCACATTTCTGATTGTTTGCTGGAATGCCACAGATATCACAAAAACTCCTCAAACACTTCAATACAAAACAGCATCTGTCCTTTCATCCTATTATTCTTACTGGGGTTCCCATCTCTGTTTTTTTGCATTGCTCTCCTCTGAGTGCCTAGAACTGTAGTATTGATTCCTCCAAGAATGAGCTATGCCAATATGTCTGCTTGGACTTGCAGGGCAGGGCATGACCTAAACTTGTCCTTAATGTCTATCAACTAAACTGATATGTTAGAAATGTCTCAAATCCATTTCTCTCCTTTCCACTTTCAGTTTCAACTTAGGCTTTTACCTCTCACTTCTGCAACATTCTCTAAACTGGTCTCCCTGTCCGAAATCTATCTCCTTTTCATCCTTCATGCTGCCTCCAAGTTCTCTCACTAAGCATCTCAGGTTTGTTAAGGGACTTTTATCTCCAGCACCTAGGAGGTCACTACTTTCTGAAGTGGCTCCATCCATCTGCAGAAGCTGCTAAGAACATTCCTAAAGCACACTCCCTGCCTTGGTCACAGAGCATCCATGGCTCCCCTTATTACAAAACAAAGTTCAAACTTAGTGTGGCATGCTATATACCTTCAACTTGACCTCAGCCTACTTTTCCAATCTTTTCTCCCACTGCAAGCAAAATCCAAAGCTTGAGCAACATCAAGCCACTGGCTCACCCCCAATTCATCTTTACATACCCCAATTTCTATGCCTGTGCTCACACTGTTCTCTCAACGAGCAATGCCCTCTCCTAGGTCCATAATAATTTCTCCCTCCTCTATGTTTCCACAGTCCTTTGTTTGCATCTTGATGATAGCATTCATTACAGTCTACCTTCGGTAACAGCTGTCATTGGTTTGCCCTCACCCCCACTCCAGGCAGGCTGAGCATTTTCAAAGCAAGGGTTTTCTTTTCTTCTTTTTAAGACAATTTCTATCCCAAGAACCTAATCAATACAAAAAGTGTGAGGACTAAATTAGAAAAGCTATGTAAAAATGTTCTGTAAACCATACTACGTTGACAAGTAAGTAAAATAAAAATTGATGTTATTTTGCATTTAATGGACTCAGAACTTTTATTAGTCTTTATTATTATTTTTATTATTATTTTTCATGTAAACTCTATGCCTAACATGGAGCTAGCACTCATGACCCTGAGATCAAGAGTCACATGCTCTCCTGACTTGAGCCAGCCAGGTGTCCCAGATATTTTATTTTTGTTCAAAATTTTCTTAGTCTGTAAGAGTTGAGTCCCTTGCCTGGGTGCCCAACTGCAAATCACTTCACCACTTCGGTCTGTTTTCTCCTTTAAGACTTGAGGGACAGGACTTCTCTGAAGGCAGAGAAAGGGTGTGGTAAAGGAATTACTAAGGGCATAGGACTGACCCAAAGAAAGATGAACCTGCCAGTAACAGATGATAAAAACCAAGACACGGGAAGAGTTACTCTGCCTGGGGGAGGATATATGGCTCCAGAGTATTAGAAAAGGCTCCTGATCGTCACACTGGATCCAAACATGTAAAAGGCTACCTGCAGCATCTCTGGGAGGATGACAAGGACCTGCCACAACTGGTAGTGCCTGCTGGCCAAGAAGGATCTGTGCCAACACGCCTGCTTAGAATCGCAGAACAGGGCATAACCTAAACGTGTCCAGGAACACAGCGGCCTCTAACACTGAAAGATTCCCTCCTTCAGGGAAAACCCACTTTTCAGTCTTACTAAGGCAATGTAACTTCGCTAGACACATCGAAGCAGTATAAAAGTCTTTCTCGTCTCCTTCCTGCCAGGGACTGCAGGGCTCACACTCAAGACAACCGGGGGCCAGGTGCTACCCTGCAAGCGGGAGTCCCTCAGAAGCCCCCTGCCTTACCCAGGAAAGCCGGATCACAGCACAGCCCTGCACTCTCTGGCAAACCTCTGAAGGTTTGAGGTGCTAAGAGGAAAGGAGGTCCGAGATCGCCGAGGTAGGCTCGGGTTCCTAACCGAGACCAAAGCGTCACTGCCAGCTCGGGCTTAGAGTACCACGGACGTGAGGTAGGCATCGCGCGGCCCAGTCCTAGATGCGCCCAGCCAAGGAGCAGAGGGGCAGGGTCACGGCATAGGACAGACACCGGCTTCTCGTGCAGCGTCGGTCCCTGCTCAGGCCTCCCTGTCCCCTAACGGGGGTCTCGGGCTCCACAGCGCCCCTCGCCGCCCTCCCGTGCTCCTCACCGTCTCCATTTCAAGAGGCGCTGACTGGGTTCGCTCGCTTTAGGAAGCTCTCTGATAGCGGGGCAGGAGCCCCGCCCCACGTCCGGTACCGCTACACCACTTCCGCCTACGTCAGATACACGCAAGCCAAGGGCGGAAGGCGGGGACATCACTCTTCCGGCGTGGCCTGGCCTGCGTAACCGCCCTCCCGTGGGTGCTCTCGGACTTTACGGATCCGCTGCCGGCGAGGGTGACTGGACGGAGCCGCTTGTATTTAAAATGTTCTTTTTTTATTTGTCGTTTAAAAACAAACTTGGAAGAAGCAAAATCCAAAACTTGCCCTTTGCCTCTTGCAACATAAATTATGTACAGTTCAGAATGATCGCTGATACAAAACATGCCAAGGACAGGGCGCTGGGGGTGGAAGGAGAGAGGGCGCTTTAAAAAAGGGAATCATTTCATCCGTTGT